TTTCGGAAATTCTCATTTAAAATTCGCGCGCTGTATATTTTCCGATATTTTAAGTTTATGTAGTTTGGCAGCACTGTCCTTAATTACTATGCCAAAAATGAGCGCGATCTGTCAGACAGTTCGTTTACGGCAGCTGTTGAAACCAGTTCACCTCAGTAGGGCGTTGCGAAAAAAACAATGGAAAAAAATATTGAACAAAGAGTTTGCATCAAATTTTGTGTTTCGAACGAAATTTCGTGTGCAGAATCGTTGCGAATGCTACAAAAGGCTTATGGGGAATCAGTTTTATCGAAAACTCAAGTTTATGAGTGGTACAAAGCCTTCCAGGACGGTCGTACGACCGTCGAAGACATTTCGCAACGCACTACTGAGGTGAACTGGTTTCAACAGCTGCCGTAAACGAACTGTCTGACAGATCGAGCTCATTTTTGGCATAGTAATTAAGGACAGTGCTGCCAAACTACATAAACTTAAAATATCGAAAAATATACAGCGCGCGAATTTTAAATGAGAATTCGAAACTTTTCAGTCTTAATGTATGTATGTAAAATATGAGAAATTCTGCAGCATTTATTAAAAAGCTTTAATATTTTTTAACGTTATTTAATACATTATAATAAAAATATATATATATAAAATTATATAATTATATTATATTATTTATTATAATATTACTTGCTATTTTTTGCTTTGCAGTCTTTCAATAAGTTTGTTATGTTAGGTTAATCTGTCTAACCGTAAGCTACACAAATTCAAAATAAAGCTAAACCTCTATACAGGTTTGTAGTAGGCATCATGTTAGATGTGTTTTTGCTTAAAGATCTATTCCTTGAAGATCTATTCAAGTTGTTAAGCTCCAAAAAATTTTAACCTGATCGTTACAACGCAAGGGATAAACAAAAGAGACGTTGCTTTATTCATTACTAAAATTTCTATATTTTATGCTTCTGTTTCTAATATACCTTGACCCGTTGCCATACATATAATAACACTACAACCTTTCCATGGCAATACTAGCACAGGTTGAGTGTATATGATTTTTTGTTTTATATATCCCACATTCATCCTTTCATTGTGGAGATTTTTAAGAGGTTTCTGTATATATAAAATTTTAGAAAAGATCTAAAATTTTCGGGAAGCCTTACCGACCTAACCGAGCTGTCATTCTGCAAAAAAGGGGCAACCAACCAAGTTCAAAAAACTGTCAGATTGGTTTACCTTTTCTGATGGAGAAATTGTTGTCTCTCGGCGTTGATCGTATGCTGACCATCGTATGTATGCACAAATTCCAAACCTGTGGTACCACAACGGGCCATTATTTGAGCTCAAGTGGGCTTTCTTGGGTCTGTATATCGTTTTGTTATTGATGTTCAACTAATCAACACTTTTGGTTTACAATAAATAAATATACACAATTGTTATATTAATTATAATGAGAGCCTGTTATAATCTTTATTTAAAATAAATTTATAATATCTTAATAATACATCAATCATTAAATGTAAACCAAATTAATGAAATATTAATTTCTTAGTTTTAAAAGTATAAACAAAATTGAATTTACTTAAAGTAATAATACCATATAAACAAATACTTTTAATCGACTTTCCATTTTCAATTACAATTAGTCTTTTTTTTTGTTTTTATTTATATATAAATGTATTTTGAGGCTACTTAGAAACTCTAATTATTGATAGCGGTATTCGCAAATCCGAGTAATATCGGTAACCGATTAAAATAGTAACATTGCAATGCAGCAACAACAAAACACATTTCGGGTCAATGTATTTTGTTATTATCGGTTTGGACTGTTACTAGGCAACTATTTACCGAGCGCTTACTTGAGACCCTGAATAACATTTAAATTATATCTTATATATTGGGTGTAGTCGTTGAAATTTGAAATTTCTTAGGTACTCTAAATTTCATTAGCAAATAATGCTTTATACTAATATTATTATTTATACTATTTCATGATTTATATTTAAGTAATTCTTTTAAAAATAGTTTCTGACATATCGGTGAAACGGTCCTTCTCACCAATACTTTTAGGCATATCAATTGTTATATCTTCAATTTGTTTACTTTCTGTACTCTCTGAAGTTGATTCGGCTGCAGAACCACTTGGCTGCGTTACCACAATAGTTGATACACTATTATCACTGATATTCTATAAAAATAGAATTATTATATGAATTATATATATATAAATCATTTCACAAACTCACTAAATTTTGGTTGATATCGATATTTTTTGTTGATTCTCCGGGTGTCCATGATATATCAGAAATAGTTTCATCATCTGCATTGCTTTCGCAACAACAACAATCGCCTGAGTAACATTTAAAGAATGGTAAATGCATTTTTTTTGTCAATTATTAGTTTTTTAACAATTTTTATTTATTTATTTAAATATTTTTAATTTGAACTTAACGTTCTTCTTGAATATTTTCGCACCAAACACTGACAGTCGTTGTCGAATACAAAATGCGATTTATTTTCAATTTTTTTGCCTTGCGCTAATTTGAATTTGTCATAAGCCAACGCAAAATACTTATAGATATTAACTATATATGTTTTGAGTTGCTTTGGTATTTGTTGGTACTGGTACGTCTTATCAGTTAAAACATTGTTAATGATATATTCTTTGATACTTCATAAATGATTACTAATCAGTGCTTGTACCGTAAGCATGTGGTAGTACTGTGAAATATGGTTTAAAGACTATAAATTCTTTTGTTTTTATGGTTTCAATATAATTACGGGTACGGTTTGGTTCGAAACACAGCATTTCGAAACATTTCTTTAAAAAAAAAACCAGATTTAAACAACAAAATCTTTTTTCTATTTTTTTTTGCAATTTATATATGATACTAACTTTAACCTTTGTAATACAAATGTTTAATGAAAAAGAAATAACGAAAAACAGAAGTAACACTAATTTCCTTTGTGAAGATATTGTCAACACCTAGTTTTCTCTTCGATTAATGATAATAAGAAAGCAATTAAATTTTTTTACCGGCCCACTAAAAGTTTTTAAAAAATGCTTATTTTGATTCGATATTATTAAAAATGTAGATGTTATGTTATCAAAATATTGCAATATAAAGCAGTAAAGGAGACCAGAGAAATCTTCGACAAAAAATTAAAATAAATTGTGGTCGGTAAACATCTTGGCTTTGCTTAAAAGAGAATACACATGATTTTAACATCTGTTCTTCAGACTTCAGTAGATGTTGTTGTTGTTGTGATTAGTTCCTTTATCTTCTTGAGGAGCTTACGGCCTGAGACTTCAGTAGATATTATAGAAATATTGTTTTTGCTGTTTCAACACATACCATTCCATGGCGAAACCAACTCAGTTAAATTTCTCAATAAACTAACATAAAAAATATCCTATTAAAGTAGTCAGTCCCACCTATTTGTCATCTATTTATTGACGATAGGTGCTTCGAGATGTAAACTTTTTCGTCTGTAAACATATTTTAAATGTGACATACATCGCATAATTTATTCTAAATGAATTAAAATATTTTTAAGAATATAATCCATCCAAACGCGCTTTTTATACATAATCAAACATGCCTATTGTGATGCTACACACACAGGTGTAACAAACAACAGGATGGAGGTCAGAAAAGGGGTCTAAACTGAAAAATTACAATAAAGTAGTTAACAGTAAAGATTTCTTTTTTTTTTGTCTTCATAATTTATGAATTCTTTGTGAATATATAGGCGGTCGATAAAGAGTAGTATATTACAGTATTGAAGTCTTTTTATTAGAATATGTATCAACAAGAAACAAATTGGTTGATCTCAAATTTGAGATCATCTTAAAGGAGAAAAAAGATCTCGGTTTTGTCGTATAGTGTATTTATAAAAATAATGTGAGAATTACACTTTAAACAACAATTCTCAATCGATCTTCTTATTTTACCTTACCTAATCCTATTTCGGTTTAGCTTTCATTGTGCAGTATTTATAACTCGTGGTACTCTTGGTTGTCTCTTAGTTTGCACGTCTGCATCGCATATCACTTTCAATAGTATTTTTCCAGGTTTTCATAAGCCTACTTGGCGCTTTCTATCTATTTTCTTGCGGAGATAGATTTCCTAATGCTTTGCGCTTACTAGGATGAATTTTCTACTAAATACATCATATAAAGTTACTGATGATTTCTTATTCAACAATTGTCACTGTTTTAAGTTTAGCGGTGCATTATAGTACTCAAATGCATACGTCATTATATATAATATTAGTCTATAATCCCTGAAGGAAGCTGGATTCTATAGCGGAGTAGATTTGGGTATGTTTATAAGCTGTTCTTGTTTTTTCCTGTCAAGTTATTTCATTTTTTATCAAATGGAACTTAGGGAACTCTGTCGCCAACCCACGTTATATTCATATGTACCTTATCATATTCTACAATATGTGTGTTGTTATAGTTCTTGTTGATATTTTGTTCTAGTTTTAAGGTTCTCGAAAAAATTTGTTGACTTAATTTTTAGAAACTGGTACAATTAATTATTGAGCATATAATCAGTTAAATTAAATTGAAACATTTAATTATACAACTTAATTTTATGAAATTATCATTAAAGTGATAATAAATGTTCTTCGTTTATAATTTTAGTAATTTTGTAATTTAATATTATTTACAGATCCATGGCGGTCACCGTTACTCACGGGATGATGTTGTACGTGAATTACTTAATGCTTTGCATCCGATGGTATTCATGCCTTGTTATTGGCGGATTGAGAAAAATTCCATTGTTTTCTACTTGGAAGATTATACTGTTGCTGAAAAGCTAAAATTTTATGAAAAACCTATTCAAATGAATGATGGTTTTCGTTTACATTTACGTGTACGTGATGGTTTCCCTTATATTACAGTCGATGATAACCTAAAACAAAAAATTGCGCTAGCTATGACATACAAATATGATCGAGGAACTAAATGTATGGATTTGAGCTGTTTTCATAAAGATCCCAATTTCAAAAGCGAGTTTTGTGCTTTGATTCGTCCCAACGTTATGTCAGCGGTACTTAACATAATGACGGAGTTTACTCCAGACGTTGAGATACTTAACTTAAGTCAAAACTTTTTAACAAATTTGGAAGGATTTAAAAATACATCTACTCGATTACCTAAGTTAAAAACGCTGTATTTGGATAATAATAAGGTAATGAATTCGTTATTCTATATTATTATTTTCACAATGATTTAATTAATCCATTATAAACTTATTGTATTTATAGATTATGTCATTGGCTAATTTGTTGGTTCTTCGCGACATGAAACTTGTTGAATTAACTTTAATGGGTAACCCTTTACGCAATCGTTTCAAGGAACAAAAGTTTTATATCAGGTATCAAAATTTTATGTTTTAAATTTTTGCAAAACAATTATAGTTGCAAGGGTAAGTAGTATTCCAATTGTAAAGATTTTGATATAATATACATCAAAATCTAAATATGGTGTTTAAGACTTTTCAGCTTCGCCAGGTTTGAAGAAAGAAAGCGCAGAAAACTTTTCCATAACAGCTGCTCAAAATGTAAAAACAAAAATGTCTAATATATATATATAAATCGTTAAATGGTAAAATACATAAAATGTAATATCATACAGTGTTACTATCTATATATTAACTACTTCGATTGAGATAATAAGTGCATATAGCATGTCATAAGGGCCCTCTGATTGAAAGCGAAAAATTAAATAAATAAATAAATTTTTTAAATGGGATGTTAAGATAAGAATGATAGCAATTAAAAATAAGTTCATTTTCGTTTTGATATAATTTTTTACTTAAATAAAATAAAAAACATTTATCTATAAAAGACGCACAAAAAACAACAAAAAAATACGCAAAAACAATTTTTGTTCATTTGAATTTCTGCAGAGATATATTTACATTCCTGGGTCATTCGCTAATATTAGTCGCTAACCATTTTCATTCTTAATTCGCCAATCCGGTTAAAACAACAACATCTGAGCTATAAAAGCACACAACACCTGTAATTCAAGTGCATTTACTATCTTTGTGTTAAGATTTTCAACTCAAATAACTTATTTCTTTTTAATTAAATAAAAACTAAATATATTAACTACAAGTTATATATTATCTACAAATTTTTAGCACGCCAATGAGCTATTAAGTCACTTAGTTGTTCTTTGATTTTAGCGAGTGTATCCGAGACATAGACCCGTTGTTGGAACTTAGTGCCATTTTATTTGCTCTAGAATTATTATAAGCTAGTTTTTAAATAGAGACAAATTGTATAAATAAATAAATAGTTTTTATGTATATCTCAGAGATCTTAAGTTTCTTAAGCTTCAAATTCACTCGTTTCAACTATTTGTACATACTGACTAACATTCCCATTTAGACGCAAGTATAAACTATTCGAAATATGTTCAAATAAATCATACAGCTAGTTCTTGCTTATCTAAATAAAATTGAAACAAAAACAATAGGCAAGCTATATTATTCCAACGTAGATCCGGAGCCATTCGTCAAATTCGACGACCAAGTTCCCTTCAATACACCCAAAAGGGACAACACTAGCACATCCCTATGGGCTACCACAACAACTCTCTTACAATTTTATTACTCTTGGGCACTGTTTTATACTGTTTTAATTTCTATTAAGTAGACATTTGCCTGTGGGGATTGTACATGCTATATGCTATTATGTAGGAAAAGAATTGAAAAATTTATTTAAATAATTAATTTATTTTTGTTTTTTTTTTTCGCTCACATCAAAAATTTTTTATAGGGACAAATTCTGTTTCGCTCGCAAAAAAATGTATTTCTCAATTGCCAGAAAACGCTACATTGAAATATTAATGTATTATATTTAATTATATTCGTACAAAAACATTTATACAAAAAATTATAAAATTAATATAAAAAATATTAAAATAAAAATTCTGCCAATAGTGATTTTAATGTTAATAATTTATTTTAGTATTTATTTATTTTATTTTAATATTTATAAATTATATAAATTATTTCAATTATTATATCATGTAAAAATTATTTTATAAATATAAATAAAATACAAAAATATTTAAAAATTGCATTTAACTATAATAAATTTTTTATTAAGAAAATTATTTCCAATTATTGTTAACTAAAGCAAAAATTCTATTTAATAAAAATATTTATAATTAAATATATTTAGTAAAATATGTGAAAATATATATTAAAAAAAATAAATTTTTATTATAAATAAAATAAATATAATTTTTTTAAATATTACAAAAAAAATAACATCAAATTGTATGAATTTGCATTAGTTGATTTAAAAAGAAATCTCTTTCTTTTAACTTTCTATATAAATGAAAGTATTTTAGAATATAAATAATAATTTAAGCATTTGAAAAATAAAACGAAATAAATATTTTTAATTACTAAACTACTGAAACAATTTTTAAGTAACTATCATTTATAATACATCTATATACTATCAATGTGAAATACATATTTAGTTTTAATGTTTTAACTCGTTATGTTTGTACTAATTTCATTTAATATTAATATTTAATATTAATAATAATATTCACTGAAATTTTTTCAAATAAAATTAATTGCCAATAAAAAATTTATATTCTAGACATGCAAACATTTTTATTCGTTCTTTAAACATAATTATTATAATAGTAACAAATGTTAATCATGTATTTTATTACTTAAAATTATTTTATTATAATTTAGAAAAAATTTCAGTTTAATGTGCAATACTATAACTAGAAAACATTTTCTAAAAATGTGTTTATATTTGTGCATATGTATATAGATGTATTTTTAATTGTATTAATCAAAAAATATTAAAATTTTAACATATAATACGCATGCTATGTAATGAAAAAATGTATTTGAAAAAACCAAAACAAAACAAATGAATATTTAAATATTTAAAAATAACATAAACGCATGCAAGTAAATATATTATAATAAATTAAGGCAATTAAAAATTGTATAAATGAGTAAGCATTATTACATTTTATTACTTAAATATTTTCTATATATATTTAGCAATGAAAATGTATTTATAAAAAAAAAAATTCAAAAAAACAAACATATGTATTAAAAAAAAAACAAAAAAAAAATATAAAAGAAAAAATGTAAAATATAAAAAAATATTGAAAAGATTTTGAATTCGTAAAAAAAATTTTCAAAAACGAAAATAAACCTTTTTAAAAATTTTTTAATATATTTATTAATTTTTTAAAACGGCATATATTTTACATATTCTATTAATTTATTCTGTATAAATTTAATCAACTGTATAACAATATAAATAAAATAAATCTATAACAAAATAAAAATAAAAAACACTCTACCTCGCTTTATGAGATTACCAGTATAATACCATATTAGCTTTTGAAACCACTTGCAAAAATATTTAATAGCAAGATAATAGCACTTTATATTAACAATATGGAAAGCTTATAGTTGGTTAATACTCAGAGGTTTGTAAGTGCTTGCATACGCCACTAAAAAGTTTTATATATGGAATTAAATTTTGTGAGTAAGCATTTTTTTTGCTTACAATATTAACACAAAAATATAAAACTAAATAAACTAAAAACTTATCAATAAAAATGAATAAATCATATTAAAATAAAAAACCTAAAACAGATCTTATTATACTTATAACAAATACTAAACACATAAATTCAAAAAATATATAATTATAAATAAGTTATACAAGATAGAATAATGTTAAATATATGTATGTATAAAAATATTTTAGTATTTCGATCATTTTGATAAATAAGTATTGGTTTATTTCTGTTTTAAAAGAAAAAAGAATTAAAAAAAAAACAAACAAAAAATTAAAATACATATATAAAAAATACATTTTTATTATAAATAAAAGGTATTAAAAAGACTGCCTTAGAATGTGAGATGGCAAAACAAATTTTTTGAGTTGTTAATAATGACGTTTAAAAATTAAATCATTTTACTCATTATAATTTTTATAATACAATTTTAAATTGCTTTAAAAGTACTAAGTTATTTTTAAATGTTGGTTTGATTAAAAGTACAAGTAAGACGCTATTGTGACTAACGTCTTTAAATTTTCTTGAGTTCTGGTTTCGACAAACATATAATTCGATGACGTTGAAAGATCGTTTTGCAAAATTATTCATTTGTTTTTTCGTTTGGTTTAAAATTTACATGATATGTAAAAAGAAAAACAAATTAATATTTTAAATTGTAATATAAATTAAAAAAAAAAAATATGTATAAATTTTATATATTTGCATATGTAGTAATACATATTACAATGATTATAATTTATAATTATTATGTATAAGTAATTTATATATATTTAAAGTTTATTAATTACTTATAACATAATTTGATTTATAGACAATAATATTATTTTTAATTGAAAATAAATAACTGAACTGTCAGACTTTTTCAGTGGTTGCTTAAATAACTTTAACTTTTTAAATATGTTAATAATTAAATTAAAAATATTCTCAATTTGACTTTTCGTGTGATAAAAATGAAAGCTATATTATTTTTTAACAGATTTTTCATTACCATATATAATTTATATTCAAAAAAATAACATAATTTAATTATAATTTCATTTTAGATGAAAATAAATTTAACATATTGTTTTCTAAGACATTTTTAATTTAAAATAAATGCTGTAAATGCCTTCATGAAATAGAAAATCCTAGAAATAATAAACAATAAATAGTTTTTGGAATTTCTGCACTTTTGATCCTGTGATTTGCCTTAAACAACGTCAAGCAACCAACTAATTTAAACTTTAAAAATATTTAATTTGATACTCTTTAAATATACTCAACATTTATTTTTGTAAAAAAAACCATATAACTATAATTAAAATTTATAACAATTTAAAATATATTCGCAGTGAGGTCCGTCGTAAATTTCCACAATTGAAAAAACTGGTGGGTTTCATTCAGATAATAAAAAAAATAATTCTAAAAATGTTTTCATACAAATTTATTTATTTGTTCACATTATATAGGATGGAGCTGAGTTATTGCCTCTAGTTTCGTTAGACTCATACCAAGGTAAATTACCAAAATCGCACGCATCATGTTTGATTCAGGAGTCAGCTGCTTCCATGCTCCAGACTTTCCTAAGCCAATATTTTCTAATATTCGATTCAGAGAATCGCCAACCGTTGTTGGATGCTTATCATGAGAAAGCATTAATGTCGATTAGTGTAGCACCAGCAAGCCAAGCTGGCAGGTACGATATATATGTGTGTATTATAATGGAAAAAAATTGATTTTAATTTGTTTTAGATTATCATCATTCTGGAAATATAACCGCAATTTGAAGCGATTAGTTGCTAATGATTCACAAACTCGAAATATGAAAATCGGTCCTTTAGCAATTGTTTCAACACTTGCGGAATGGCCTCGTGTTATACATGATAAATCTTCTTTTACTGTGGATTTGACTTTTATTTCGGTGAGTACGTTTTTGTTTTTTGTTTAAACCACTAAAATAAAATAAATTGTAAAATACCAAACATAGTGTACTGTTTTGTAAGCACTACACTACACGTTGAGTACACTAAATAAAATCTGAAGCACATCAACAAAACTTTTAGTGTTTGTGTTTATAAACTTGATGTTCATGTCTATTAAATTCCCACTTATCCTCTTCCTTCACTTCACTTAACTTATTCGTATTTGTAATTCCCTTAATAGTATCTGCTACATAGATTCCCTCTTACTAGAACAACAATTTAAGGTCGGTTTAAAATCAGCCTGAATATTTTAAATTTTATATGTAATAAACCGACATATAGACTATATCTGATAGATTCATTTGACTTCATGCTTTCAACTTAAGCATTAAAAGAACAAAGAAGAGTAAATATATTATTATTATATATTATTATATACCGATCTACCAAAAATATTGTTAATTTCATAACAATAAAACTCAAAGTTTTTATTTTAAAATTTATTCATAGTGCTCTAATTAATTGTAATTATTAATTTAAATTAAAAGTTTATTTTAAAAAACATATCAATATTATTAAGTTTGGAATAAACTTGCACTGCAACCTAAAGATCTCAGCATCTCTTCCGTTTGTCATCAGTGTCGGCTAAGCACTTAAAAAGTTATTATTGTCTTATTATTATTATACTTATTATTGTCTAATTGTCCTCCCTGTAAAGCCTACAAGTTTCATTGAAGTTAATGCTCAGTTTCTTTAGATAATATTTTATCCTGTCATGAGTATTTTATGATATATCCTAAGTATTTATTCTGTACTCATCAATTTTATTTTTATTTTAGGACGAAGTTGTGATATTTACAGTCACTGGATTGTTTCAAGAGGTCGATACTAGCCCAACCGCAACCAACGGTAATATTCGGACTTTCGCACGTACATACTTTCTTTTGCGTACCGGAAATACATTGGCCATTCGTAATGAATTGATTTATATATCAAATGCTACTCAAGCACAAAGTAAATCGTTTATGAAAAAATCTGTGGGTATGACTGAAGCACAAAATTCTACAATGACCAATATGCAAGCTGCTACCAACATCCAATCTCGTCTGCAACCAGGAGTACGTATTTATTATTTTTTTATCTTTTTATTTATAAATCAATTTTCCTTCATTCGCATCTACAGGCATCTGCCGATGCAATGTATTTACCAAACGCAATGAGTCAAATAAATTTGAATGGTGCGTCTACATCTGCAGCAGCCATGCAGTTACCTAATGCAATTAATCAAATAAATATAAATCAAGCTTCTACAAGTGGAATGCAGTTACCTTTAGCGGTTCAAGGAAATATCAATGAAAATGCAACTAGCAACGTAGCTAATATCGGTATACCAGATGACGCTACTAAAATACGTATGGTGCACGCTTTGCATGAAAAGAGCAAGATGAATTTCATGTTCTGTGAGAAGTAATTATTTTTTAAATTTTTTTTTTTAATAAACTCGATATATATAATAAAATTATATTTTAGGTGTCTCTCTGAAAATCAATGGGATTTCGATACCGCTTGTCACATGTTTGAGAAGGCATACAACGAAGGCCGGATTCCACCAGATGCATTTAAATTATCATAAAAAATTAAATATCAATTTTTTTCAAATAATTTTAATTTTTTTATTCTAAAGAGAATTTAATGTTTTTTAGTCGTGCTTTACCATTTAATGAATTTGTACAAAATTGAATTATTTTCAGTTAAAATATAATTAAATTACATTGTAGTGAGTGTGTACACAAATTAATTTTTTTTGTATTGAACTTTTCTGTTGTTAAGTGTCTATACAATATGTATAATAATAATAATTATAAAAAAAGCAATTAAAATTGTCCAACTCTAGTACACACAAAATAATTTTAATATATTAAATTTCCAGAAAATTAATTTTGATAATTAAAAAAAAATCAAAATAGCAAAATAGCTTATGTATGAATAAATCTATTATAATAAAACATGTAAATTAATTTTAGTCTACAATTATAACATTAGTATATTATTAACAATTTAATGTCCATAAAAAAGAGGGGGGTAATAGTGAGAAAACTATAATACGAAAATTATTTTTTAAGCCTGCAAATATGTTGTGCTGACCAGCCTGATATTGTCAAATATCCATTATTAGTGGCATTAGAAAATATATATTGGCTTAATTGTTTGTAATTTTATGCTTTTACTATCGCCCACCTTCTCTATTACTATATAATGATATATATTTTACAATATAATAATTTTTTATTGATGTAATATATGCTTATCCAAGATGTCACATATGAACGTTTAACAATACATCAGTGCATTTACAAAACAGCTACCAAATTGTTTTTGATTTAATTGCAACAGAAGCGTTAATTTAATGGTGTTACAATATTTAAAATTATTTTAAAACCTAGAACAGTCTGTGAAAATTGTAATAGAGGCTTTATGTTGTTGGTATAACTCGCTGGGACCTGTAAGCAGATAACACATGACAATTACATGGCTGTGGATGTAGATGGGGAATGATGATAAGGGGTGGATGGGATTTAATTGAATATTATATATATATATATATATACAAACGGAGAAACCTGGTTACTTCAATGGGTTGGGTTCAAAGGTCAATTGGTCATAGGTTTTTGTGCGTTGTAAGACAGGAGAACAGATGAACCACGTAACGGCGAGAGTAAAACTGCAGTTTCTATGATATTATGATGTTAATCCTTATTTACTTCTTTTTGCCCGTTGGAGTTTGTGAATACTATCCCGTAAGTTTCAATGTAGTGGGGCAATACTGGGGGCAAATTTAACAAACAAAAACCAAGACAAATTTCAAACAAAAGCAAGAACAAATTTATGCTGACTTACGTAACATAAGCTAAAGTGTAAACTACAAAAAAAACATAAATTATAATTAGTAATTTTTATGTTGCGCGGGTAATTTGAAATATGTTCCTTTCCAGATTGTTTATTTTTCACAATTTAAAACCTTAACCTTCACACTCCATGGGCAGGCGAAGGTGACAATTCAAATGAAGAATTATAACTATAAATGTACAATAATGTATACAGATATTTCATCCCCTTTTTAATTTATAATAATTTTATTATTATTTAATTTAAAAGTGTAAAATAAATAACATTGCCCATTGTTTATCTCTAAGATTTCTTAGCTACTACGCTTTGACATAAGTGACATTTCAGCTGTCAAAGTTTAGTACATTTTTGTGTGTTGGCAGCCCTGCTGTTATGCAAAACATAATTTTACAGTTCCGATTAGGTAAAATAATCATTTTTTTTTCTTTAAGCAAAGTATTATATTACTATTTAAAATAGAATAAACAACAAAATGGACTGTGCTGGAGCTGCAACTGCTAGTAGAGCACAGGATTTACCACCACCTGGGGGATATAAGAGAATTAACTTCGCTCGAGTGCCTGCCAAAACCTATTTCACTGGTAATCTTCTAAAATAAATATTCCAATTAGCAATTAAAATCTTTTTTTTAATAACACTATTATAGGCTATCAATTTCTTGCTGGTTATGCTGCTGTAACCACTTTTGGCTTGTATATGTATTATCTGACAACAAAAAAAGTAAAGCGAGAGGAAATTGAAATGCGTTCCGCACAGAATGTTATGTTTCCCATACTCATTGCAGAACGTGATCGTGAATATCTTAAGCAATTACGTCGCAATCGTGACGAAGAGGCTAAACTGATGGCCAATGTACCCGGTTGGGAAGTAAGCATATGATTAATATTGGTCAAATCTATAAAATTTTGAGATTTATTAATAAAACAACTTTTCTAGGTTGGTACTTATTATGGTGAACCTATTTACAAAACAGTACCAAAGGATAAATTAATCACACCAATATTTATGGAATTCTATGCTCACGCTGAAAACAGTGCAAAAAATAAACGTGAACATATTAAATTGTGGAGGTAAATATGTACAATAAAAAAAAATACTATGGAATCTGGTGCAGTTGTCAATGATTTGCTTTGAATTGTACAATTCTTGTATAAGTGAAACACAATTTATTTGGTTAAATAATGCCAATTTTGTTAAATAAATTAAATTACTTAAAGTTAAAAGCGATACTATTATAACTTTGCTTTTATTTAAGTGGAAAATTATGAATAAGCATTCATATTTTATGAAAGTTAACGAATTTTGTGGCTTAGTATAAGAATCATTACAACTATTTATATATGTTAATATATATAAACATATATTTAAAAATTAAAATAGGATTTATATTAAGAAGTAGTAATGATCAAACTCACTAAGAATGTGAAGCAAATTTTATAAAATTGCACTCAGTAATAATTGAATCAGGCTTGGAATTTGAAACAAAATCGTTGCAATTAAACTAATATTAAAACAGATATATAAATAAAATTAATCAAAGTACTATGTACACAAATTTGTCCAGACTAGAAACACTTTTTAGCTACTCGCAACGGTTTTAATTATTATAAATGTTGTCAAAATGGATGACATGATTTAGACGATACCAAAAAATTATTATAAATAATATTAATTAGAAGGTTAAAATTATATTAATTATTAATATTAATTATATACAATAAAAAATAGCTGCTACCGCTATATATATAATTCGGGTGAATAATACTAGTTTGCTCTAATGTATTGCTAGCCGCCATATGGCTAGTCTGTCTACTAAGATTTAAGGATTATGTTGTCCTAGTAATTTTTCCTGTAGTCTCTTTTGGGTTTGCTGAACGGCACTTAGTCGTAGCCACTCTACGAGTAGCTCCCTGTCATTGTTGGTACCACTTTTTAACTGCGTTATGCATTGTTGAAGAAAACAATATTCGATATTCAAACTTAATAAATATCTTAAAAGCAGTTCACAATATTTTTCCTTGTTTAATTTAAAAGAATTACATAGACGAAACTTATTTTACATATAATTTGGCTTTATTTATTTGTAATTATACAATACCAGTTTTCGCATTATTATTACGTTTTATATGATAACAGAATTAGAATATATATATCATATTTCAACGTTGCCGCATTTATCTTGAACAAACTAATGTTATAACTAAGTTTAATGTTATGTTAAAAAATAAACAATTAATTACATAAAATATAATGTAAATTAGTACAATGTTTATAAACATAATTAAATTTACTTAATATCTCTACGACGTTTGATGGTGCCGTCACAAGTTGGTATATGTCGTTGTAAGAATCCCTCGAATACAAATTTCCTACCACAACGCGTGCAGGGGAATTCACGTTTATCATCAACTGTTTGTTTATGCCGTTTCAACATCTCTGCATTGGAATACTTCTCACGGCAATAATCACAAGCATAACGTCTTTTCACTTGACCAGCTTCAAATACAACAGTGAAATTTGTAGAACAGAAGGAGCACGTAAATTCTTTTAAGACAACTTTCTTTCCGCCGTGTTGTTCAGCCAGTGCAGCTGCTTCAGCCTCTAATTTATCTTGTTGTTTGTGCGTCTCTATGTGTGCTTGATATTTATCATCATCAACAAACTTACGATAGCAACGTGTACACCGTCTTGGACCTTCGCCTGTATGACGCATCATATGCTCCTTCAAGTAAGACACCGAATTAAACACTTTATTACATATTTCACATTTTCGATCTTCGGGCGGAACCTCTTGCCGTTGACGTATGCAAGCACGCATATGCAATTTTAGTGAACCAGCAGCGCTATAGCAATTTCCACAATTTGAACAATAAAATGTTTTTGAACGATAATATGAATCTTCAGTCGGACTCTTATTATTGTCTCCGTCACCATCGCCATCGCCATCACCATCAACTTCACCCTCGCCTTCGCCTTCACCACCGCTATCCAGTATAGTGCAATCTGCAGCTGACACAAATTGTACAAATGTTGTTGTACCATCGGCTTCCTCGATAGCTTCAACTTCCTCGACCGTATTATTTTCATCCGTGACAAGCTGTTGTATTGTTACAGCACGTCCGTTTTCATCAATTATCACTTCATGCGCTTCACTGATTGCTTCAAGATGATGTTGTTGATGTGCCAATGATGCCACCGCGGATTCAGCTTCTTCAGCGTTTGCGAATGCATATGCGTATTGTTGTTCGCCACTATTCGGGTCTTGTATCAATACAGGCACGAGTTCTTGTTTAACAGCACTAGTAGTTATGGTCGCATATTTGGTTCTTTTTGCTTCCATATTTATTCAAATTTAATTACAAAAATATATATAATTTTAATTACTTTAAATTTCTAAGCAGCTGGTAAGCTCTTTCTCCGAGTTGATTTTTTCACTACTTCGTAATTCACTGCTTCCCTGTTTCTGCGGAAAATTCGACTGTGGCAACAACATCAAAATGGAGGCCCGAATTGCCAATATTTCATACGAAGACAATGTTGGCAGCATTGTATGATTCATGAAATTTACTTGTCCAAACAGTGGCGGTATAGGAAAATAATTTAAATAATTAATTTAGTACATAGTGCAGCCGCTGTACTTAATGCAAAATATTATTGTAATAATTATATTCAGCAAAGTAAATATGATTATAATTTTAATCGTATTGACTATATTATTATATATATATATATATAATTAAATATGAAAAAATAAATATGTACAGTAAATAAATAAATAACATATTACACAACTTGTAAATCTAGATAATAACTAAGTAGCAGTAATAATAAAATCTAATATTACACACAAGAAATAATATATTAAAAATAAAATTTCATTTGAAGAACTGATGACGATTTGTTACAGATAAGTCAATATAATTAATATATAATAAACATAGTCTTGTCATAAAATTAATTTAAAATTTATTTATTATATGACGCACTAAGTAATAAATGACTAAATAAGACAAAGCTTCGATATCAACAAAGGCCATGATTAGAAAATTATTTAAATTTATCGGCAATAACTACAACAATAGTAACAAAGACATTCAGCTAATTAAAAGTTATTATCACACAGAAAAGGAAATTAAGTTGATGTAAAAAAATGTGGTGCATTATAAGTAAGTGAAACGTTTAAAAAAAAGTGGCCGCCGCTGTACACACAATCATTTTAAAAGTTTTAATGCGCTTCTGGTACATATCTTATGAAAAAAAATAAATTTATTTTTCAGTTTAATGCCTTGAAGTTCAATAAGATAAATAATTAGTTATTTAATTAAATTTAGTAGTATATTAGTAATTGAAATAAGTTAATAAGTATAAAAATTAAATTTTATTAATTAATTTGTTAATTAAATTAATAATAGGCGTTTTCGGTGGCTCGCAAGTACGGCAAAAAATGCATGTTGGCTTATGTTGGCCACGCGAGTCATTGGCATCACTGTTGCAATCTGTCAAATGTTTTGTTTTGACGTTTTGATGTTTTGTATATGTGCATATAAATCAGTTATATTTTTAAAATAATATAAAATTAAAATGAACACGGAATTAAAAGGAATGGTAAGAATATTGGAAATTTAAAAATAAAACACTAAGATAAGTAAATTTTTGTAGGTACTGTCGATGTTGGGAGAAGAAAGCAACGTTTTGCGGCGGCCGAGGGATGCAAGTTGTTTCACGGATTTTTTAAATGTTATGAATGCACTCTAGAAAACACTTCGTTTCCTTTGTGGTCCATAGTTTGCGTGTATTTCTATAAAAAAATTTTTTAGAAAAACTTCAAAAATTATGTTTGTTTTATTAATTTTACGTATGTAAACTACAAATTATATGAAATAAAATAAATGCAACTTGGTAATAACTAACATAATAAAAAATTCAATGTGCTTAATACTTACGATTTCTCCATTCTTATTATTTCTTCGTTACTTTTCAATATTTTTCAAATTTTTGAATTCTGTTTGAATTTTTATTTCCTCAATTTTTGACATTTGATTGCACTATTCGTTGGAATTTTCAATGAAGGTTCACAATAGTTCGCTTATTGCGTTGGTAACATTTTTTTTTTTACTGGCCGATGTGGTTGGCCAGCATAGCTATGCTGGCCGAAGTAGAGAAAATAGTGTTGTTGTTTTGCGTACATTGCGGCCAGTATAGGCCTGCATAGGCCAGCAACTTGCTGTTTTTTGCCGTACTTGCGAGCCACCGAAAAGGCCTAATAATAATATATTACTAATAATTAAAATTATTAATGTTATTAATTTATCTCTATTTATCTAATATTTTGATAGATTATTTATATTACTTATATTATTTAAAATGATGTCAATCTTAGAATTACATATATTGATGTTATATTATTCGAAGGCAGCTTAGAAATCAGTAAAGTTATTAAATAACAACATACTATTGTATTTATATTTCATTACTCTCAAACAATTGCTTATATATACATATATTGTTATCCCCACACTTATAAAACTTTGATAATTAATTCATTTTTTCTGACAGTTAGCTAGTACTTCAAATTAATTGGTATATATTTAATATAATAGAACAATTTATATGTAGTGTAATATTTTCAATATAGTACTTAATTTCTTTAGTGTTGTTCAAAGCATTATAAAACTACTACTACTGGCTACAATAGGTAGAAATGTTAAAAATAAAGTTCAAGAATTCGTTTTCAGTAATACACAAAAGAATATAGTACTTGGCGATTATATTCCAATACTTGTAGTTGTCAACTACTAAGGCTAGCAATTGTTTAAAATCAAATACGCTTTATAAAAAATTTATTATTTTTTAGATTTGTCTTCACATATTTAAATGAATGAAACCCGATTTTTCTTTCTTGATATATAATCTTAAATTATATTTTGCGAGTATTACTAAAACCTTTAAAGCCAACTTTCGGCAAGTTGGTCAGAACACTGTCTCTAAGCTTCAAATTTGACAGTCTCAAAAAATTATTTACTAATAATTAAATATAAGAAATAATTTCAAAACCACTGATGATGGGAATACTGAAAACAATCAAAAATTTAATTAATTAATAAAATATTTAAATTTTATTATTGTAGTTTAATACTGTTCGAAATACCTCTCCATTGAAAATAATTGTTTATATTAAGAATTTAGTTTCTTTCGTTAAAATGGACGTTAAAACCCAGTTTAATATAAAACCTTTAATTTAATACTTTATATTTGGTGTAGAAAACTATGGCACTGCTAAAAAAATATGTAAGAAGACATATATTGACAACATATACGTTAAAAACATAAAATTCTACATTTTAATGTTTTTAAATAGATAGATATATATTTTAGATATATATGTATTTTATTAAGCATTCGGTAGAATAAGCTGCATAAATTATAAAATAAATTAAGTACCATATATATAGTAGATAACATATTACAACTATACGTTTACATTACAGTTTATTTAACAAATGTTCAGCAATAATTGTTATTTTTTATACAATATCAATATGGAATACACACAAAACCGATACAAAAATATTTATTTATTCGTACAAAACTCAAAACTTAGAAAAGTCCTTGCAGCTGGTTTAGATCATAGTATTACAGAACTCAATGTTCTTTACTTACCTATGCTATAGATATACTATACTTAATTTCAGTGTTTATAATTTAAAGTATTTATGTTTAATACTAAATTTGATTTAATTTTCTATTTTAAAAATATTGTTCAACTTAACTATTATAAGTCGGTAAATATTTCATTTCTGGAATTGGAAATAAATAGAAGTAATAAGTTGTGCAATTCAATTTGATTTTATTTCAGTAAATAATTGACATTGTTGTATAACAATCTACAATTGTAATTGTTCTAATATTTAATTGATTTCAGAATAAAATAGAGCAATAACCTTGAACTTGTACGTTTTTTTTTCCGGTGTATGTTGAATGCAGGCGATAAACAGCCACCGACCGATCACACACAAAAGTGCATTTAACTTGTCACGCAATATTTATTTATAGAAAAATATTTTGGCAAATATCTTCAGCAGAAATAAATTTTGTGCAATTTATGTAATTTATACACTCGTATGTAAATAAAATAATTTTTATAAATAAAAATAAACAATTTAAATGAAATTTTATCATATTTATATAAATCAGTTAGTTTTGAATTTTTATTAAATTTTTTATTACATTCATTAATATATTAATTATAAATTATAATGCATATATTTATTCATTTATGATTTATTTTATATTATATCATGTAATACTATTTTTTTTATTTTTTATAAACATTTTCAAATTTAAATTTAAAAACTGGAACTTGGCAGCATTTTTTTCAGTTATGTGCGCGTTTTCTTCGTTGCATCGCAGTTAAAAATTTTGTTAACATAAAATTGAACTGTTATATATACTATATATATAAATTATATATAAAATAAGTATAAATATATAAAAGTGTTTGTATAAATTATAAATATAACATCAAGAGATAAATACAGTAATGATTCAAATTCTAAGCCACATCATAACTGTCTCATAAATTATATCATAAAACTATTGTTTAATATTGCATTTGTTGGCAATATTTTCTTTTATCCATATTTGCATTAAAAGACTTTTTTATTATTCACTTAACACCATTTAATTGAAGCAAAAACTTAATTTATGTAATTCGACAGTATCAAATAAAAGTTCCTTGGATGTTCCTTTTAATTTTTCGAAGTTTGATGAAACAGTGATGCCAGGTTAGTTATATTAAATAAATAATTAACTTAACCAATTAATTTAAATAAATTAAAAAATTATTAATTTTATATTTTTTTTTGCATTATATATTCTCTTTAATTTTATTAATTATTTATTTACGTGACCCTTTATATGCTTTACATAAAATAATTTTGCTATTTCTCACTCTACTATATCTAACAAAATAAATAAATAAATCAGAATAAATATTTAAATCCGTAATATTCTTGCGAGAGCGAATGTTTCACTCCTTTACTAAGTATTTATGCGGATATGCAGTCAGCAACAACAGATTTAATGTTTTAAAATGAATTTAAACTTTCCATAGGTGTGTTCTTTTGATATAAGCGCTCCAATAAAACACGTGGTGCTTAAAAATTAACATGCAAAGCAAAAACAAAATTCGCTAAAATAAACCCACTTTCCTAAAAGTGGAATGAGCCTCTCGCACTACAATGGTGATAAATCTTAAAACTGATCTATTGTAAATGATTTTGGAAAGAAAATAAGAAACTACAGTCTGCTGTATAATATATATGTCTGCTGCATGTAAACGTCATATTAAATATTGCACATTTAGGATTAACTAGTGATGTGTCAAGTTTGAAATTATATAAAATTGGACAATGCGTTGCTCTCATTGTATTCTCTTTACTTCACTAATTTGCTCCGTTATCATGGACAATGCTTAAAAAAATGTATACTTTTATATTTATTTTAAATTTATTTCAAAAATAACAGA